TTTTCTCCCCATCCCTATATGAAGTTAAATACTAAGGAATAAGGTTTTCTCAGGTAGGATTGATTTGTGTATGGCCACAAATCATTGCAATAGCTAAGTTTTTTTTCTCTTTAAGAACCAACCTTCTCCCACGTGGGGGCGATACTACCCCATTGCAAAGGCAAGCAGTAGAACAAACTCTCCGACCCTCTGTGTGTGTGTTTATTTCTTTAGGAGTGGTATGCCATTCTTTGTGTGTGTTTGTTCCTATGAAATTTAGAAACAGCTTACTTAGCAATTTCTGCAAATCAAAACAATGTAAAAATAAAAAAAACTTTCACCAGCAGAATATATATACCAGTAGTGGGGAATTTTTATTGCGATTGCATTCTGTACGTCAGTTTGGATAGTTGACATCTTTATGTTACTGACTTTCCTGATCATAAGCATAGTACAGCTTTATGAAGAAGATTCTTTTGATAAGAAATTGGAAACATGGTTAGTCCTATAATAATGAATGTGTTGTTAGTGTTTTATGCAAAGAATATTACTATTTATAGATTTACCAGTGAGTTCTAGCTCTATCAAATGTAATAGTAAACAATTCCAATCTTATACAGACTCTTTAAAAGAATAAAAAAGAGAATTGTTCCAAATTCATTTTATATGTGTAGCATATATTTGATGCATAACCTATCAAGGATAATAAGAGAAAGAAAGAAAATTATAGGCTAGTCTAATTACGAACATAGATAAACAACTTGGACAAAATATTAGCAACCTGAATCTGGTTTTATGTAATCAGCATGATGAAGATAAATTTATTTTAGGAAGGAAAGGTTGTTTTTACATTAGAAAAGCAGTCAGTATATTTTACTACATTAACAGATTAGGAAAAAAAATCATATGTATGAAGGTTATGTATCAGCATATGAAGACAGGTAAGAGTCATCATCCATTCATGTTATATAAGTCTTAGCAAACTAGGCCTAGAAAACTACTTTGGTAAGATAGAAAGTTTTTTAAAAAAACCCACAAAACATAACACAGCGTCTGTAGCATGAGTAATGATGAAATGTTGATCTCTTTCTTCCAAGCTGGGAGACAAGCTCTTGATGTTAACTATGCCACCCACCTATCACGATTATTATTATACATAGTGCTAGGAGTTCTAGTCAGTGAAGTGAGGCAAGAGAAATTTAAAAAAAAATGTAACTTCTGAAAGAAATAAAATTCTCATTACTCTTAGATGATACAATTATGTAAATGATTTATCCATAGATGTTTTTGAAAGATGTTTAGGAAAGTTTAAGAAGTATAACTACAAAACAGTCCTTTAAAAATCCTATTTCTATATGCTAACGAACAATCCTTTATACAATAGAAATTAATAGCAAAATTATTTATAATAGAATCAAGAAACAGGAAGGTCCTGACATAATTCTAGGAGAAACATATAAAACTTCTAGGAGGAAATTGTGAAGCTTAATGTAGAGAATGTTATTTTTGTGTGCATGTCTGAGTGTGTGTTGTTGAAATCCTAATTTAAAAAATTTTATGGAAATGGAGATTATTTAGAATAACCAAGACATTCTTGAAAAAGAACAAGGTGGGATGACTTGGCCTACTAGGTTTGGAGGCTTATTACAAAACCATAGTCACTAAGACATGTGTCATTGGTATGGGGATAAACAAAGAAACCAAGAGAACAGAAGAAAGAGCACATATCAGACTCATGCATGTGTGGATACTTGACCTCTGATCACTGAGGAAAGAACAGCTTTTTAAATAGTCCACCCTGGAACAATTGAGTATCCATGCAGTGAAAATAAATTCAGACCCCTGTATTTCATTGCTCAGAAATGTAAACATCAGTTCAGGTGGATGAATGACCTGAACGTGAAGGGCAAAAGTATAAAGTTTTTAAAGGCTTTAGAAGATAATAGTGGAGAATGTCATTATTACCTCATGGTTGGGAAGGCTTTCTTGAACGGGAAATAAAAGCTCTAAAAGAGAAGATTGATAAAGTGGACTTTATTGAAATTAGCAAGTTGAGGTTATCAAAAGCCATAGAGACAATGAAAAGGTAGATTCATATTAGAGGAGATATTTGCGATATGCAATTGAAGTAATAGTAGTATCCAAAGTGTATGCCGAATGAATCAGTAACCTTTACCTTTAGGATAGGGGTGAGGGAGAGAATGTGATGGAGAAGGAATGCACAGAGGAAAGGTTCTATGTGGCTTCAAATGTTCTCATTCTTGAGAGGGTGGTGTCACTCTTCTCTAAACTGAACGTATGTTTTCTGCGTTTATCTGAATATAAACACCTTTCTTATCAAAAAAAGTGAGAAGAAATAACAACAAATACAGTTACTATGTTAGTTTGCTAGGGCCGCCATAACAAAATACCAGAGGTGGGGAGGCTTAAGCAACAGAAACTCATTTTCTCACAGTTCTGGAGGCTAGAAGTCAACATCAAGATGTCAGCAGGTTTTGGTTTCTCAAGAGGCCTCTCTCCTAGGCTTGCGGGTGGCCACCTGCTGCTGTGTCCTCACATAGTCTTCCCTCTGTGCATGAGCATTCCTGGTGTCTCTGTTTCTGAATTGCCCCTTCTTACAAGGACACCAGTCAGATCGGATTAGTGCTCACCTAAGGGCCTCATGTTAACTTAGTCACCTCTTTAAAGGCCATTATCTCCAATTATAATGACAGTCTGAGGGAGGTTTTCCGGAGACACAATTCAGCCACAACACTGTTTTTGTAGTAAACATCTTGAATAGCAAATTGGTTTTTGTGATTTTTGGATAAAATTTCCCAAGCCAGTTTTTGAATTAAAAAAATCCTGTGTCTAAAAACACTAAGCTATAAGTACAGGTGTGCTCTGGAGAACTGTGTTAAATGGCTCAAACTATAGTTATGTAGGTGTGAACTTGGAATAGAACTTTACTGAAAATGTGAGAGTGATAAAAAACAATTTCAATTTAAAGGTTTTTTTTTTAACAAATCCCCTTAAATATAAATGTATAACTAAGTGAATAAATGTAATATTATAAGTAGATATTTTAGTCTTCATCCCTAACATTTATAAACTCTAGTTGGCAAAAAAAAAAATTTTTTTTTTCAGTCTTATAACTGGGAGAAGAGAGGGTGCCTTTTATTTGGTCATCTTTTGTATTCGTATTACTGTAACACAATTTCTGTATTACTAAAATTTGCCCCACTACACACAATCATGCAGTAAAAACCACAGGGCTTATGGGAAAATAGAGGCACAACACTGAAAAAATTTTCAGTGACACTAAAAAAACAGCACCACAGTTTTATATATGTTAAATAGTTAAGAAATCCATAAAATCTATAATAAACATGGCACTTTACCTTAAGAGTCACCTGAAGTTTTCTTGTGGAACTGGGCCTTAGAAGGGTTGCAGTGCGAGTTACTGTGGAGTGATGGAAGGAGGGCCATCTGAAATTAGAGAGTAAGTTGTAAAACAAGATGGATGTGAGTGCGGCTAGAGTGCAGGAGCCGGTAAAAGGTTGGGGGTATGCCTGTGTTTGGTGTATTCCAATGTAGCTTGGTTTAGCTGGCTGCAGTTTTTTGTGTTCACCTAAGGTTTTTCACAGATAAAAATCACACATAAACAAATACAAAATGCTTGCTATGCTCAAATTATTGCTTAATTGGAACAAATTTGTGTTTCCAAACAGAACTTAGTATATGTAATTTTTTTTTTTTTAATCATTTGTAGCTCCATCTTTTCATCTTTACATGTGTTACAAGGATTCTGCATTAGGCTCTTTTTACTGTGCTTTTGAAATGCCTGCCTAATTATTTGACTGCTACTTACCACTTTAAGTGTCTTAGTAAGTTTTAAGTTTTTCCAGGCTAATGAACTGAATGATTTGGATGAGGAATCAGATTTTTTGCTTGAGCCTGGTGGATGATCACTGTGATGCACAGAAAGAACATCAGTTCTTTTGTTTCAAGCAAGTGCATCATGTTCAGTGACTCCCTGCTTTGGATATTGCTACCAGGATACCTTTAAGCCATAACCTGAATCAAAAATATAGACATGTGTAGGTGGTTATGTTTTGGGGATCCTTCCCATTTATTTCTTATTTTTATCCACTGTAGCCACTTTATACCGAAGTTTAGCAAAGCAGGTTTCTGAGAGAAGTCTGTTCTTTCATTCTTTCTCACTCCTCTGGCATGTCTGGTTAGTAACAGTGATGGTAAATGAAATGTTTCCCCTTGCTTTCCTGTCCTTTCACAACAGTGTTTTGGGTTAACTTTTAAGACCCTCATGTTTATGCCCTGAACCATGCTCAGCATTTCCATTTCTCCTTCCCATCTAGGCATGTCTTTATGTTTCTGCAGTTCTCTGTGCATGAGTACTTGTTATAGCATATATCACATTGTGTTTTGCAAAGCTGGACTCTAAATGTATGCCTCTTGAGGAGACAGACCATATTTTTATCATGTTTGCATTTCTACTCCTTAGGATAGTACTTGACGTGGTGGGTGAGTAAGTGAGTAGGTGAATGAATGAAGTGAGCTTGAAGAGAGTTGTCCAAATGATCCTATCATTTACTTTTCCTCCTCATTTTGACTAAGTTAATAATCTCTAGGTATCTTGATCATTTGAACTTTTTAAGGGTTTTAGCAGTGCAGTAATAAAATTTACTTTTATGGAACCAGGAATTTATATCATCTGTTTTGATTTTTGGAGGTTTTTTGCTATAAATAGCAAACATGGCTAATTTGCAACTTTTGGGTTGAGGTTTTTGACACAGTAGAGTAGTAAAATCCTATTTTTCAGCTTGCTGGTATGAATTAAGTTATTTTTGAAATTTAAAGCTATGTATTGATTAAACGAAATAATCCCAATTATTTCGGGGGGGAGAGTATTTCTTTTAAGATAACAAGGAAAAATGTTAAGGCTCAGTTCTTGATTGTTATTGTAACTATATAAGTAACTTTTTGAATGTTTTTAAGACTTTCTTCTTTAATTCTTATAGGAGGACCTCTTTGTTTTTAGACATGAATTGGCCATAATGAGACTAGCTGCCTTTATGGGGATTACTATGTTAGTTGGAATAACGGGACTCTTTTATACTCAACTAATTGGCATTATCACAGTAAGTATATTTTTAATGTAAAGTATTATATTTATGAACATATTCCCTAACTATGAACTTAATTCTAAGAAATTACAGAAAGTTTAGAAATTAGAGGAGAAAATTATCCATAGTAATTTATTCTCATTTTCATATGCCTGTGTAATTTTTAAGGTAGTTATGATCAGTGTACAGAGTGTATATACAGCTTTTCATTCTGCCTTTATAAATTAACATAAAGTAGTTTTATATAGCTGTAGACTTCATAGTTAATCTTTTCCTGTTGATTATGATCTAATGTGCAATTATTGTTTTCTATATTTACAAATAAAATTACTTTGAACATCTCTTTTTCTTCTTTAAGCTATCATATAAGGTAAATTCTAAAAAAGTAGAGTTGCTGATAGAACCATTTTATTTGTAATTAAATCTTTTTTTGAATGTACATTAGCAGCTAAATGGGATTTAGCACATACAACAGGAAGGATCTAAAAGTAAGAAAAATATTGAGCAGTGATTTAAAAGTTTGATAATACACATCATTGCAGAAGATGTAGAGTAAACAGATTTTATTATATATTATTGGTGGGGGTGTAAACTGGTGTATCCTTTTTGAAGGGTGAATTTTCAGTGTCTCTCACAATTAAAAATGCACAGTCCTTTCACTACAGATTTATTTTATAGAGACTATTTGTTTACTTGTATGTAAATGAACATGTAAGTTAAAGATGTTCATTATTAATTATGTTTAATGTGTGTATTATATATGAAAACCTAAGTGATTGTAAGAATATATTCAGTGAAAGAAATGCATAGTAAGAAAAATGCATCAAAATTTACTGTAAGGCAATGGCAATTAAGAAAGTGTGCTACTGGTATAAGGATATAAGGGTCTAAAAGTATAGACATAAACTTATGAACAATTATTTTCAACAAGGGTACCAAGGCTATTCAGTGGGGGAAGGAAAAGTCTTTTCAAGAAATGCTGCTAGACAACTAGATATCCACATGCAAAAGAATGAAATTAGACCCTTCACACCATGTACATATATTAACTAAAAGTTACTCATAGGACTAAATGTAAGATCTAAAATTATAATTATTATAAAACTCTTAGAAGAAAACATGAGATAAATCTTGGGTAAGGCAGTAATACCTTAAATATGATACCAGAAGTGCAAATGACTAAAGGAAAAAAAATGGGTAAATTGGACTTAATCAAAACGATAAACTTCTGTGATTCAAAGGACACTATCAAGAAAGTGCGCCCTGGCTGGTGTGACCCGGTGCATTGAGTGCCAGCCTGCGAACCAAAGAGTCCCTCGTTCAATTCCCAGTTAGGGCACATGCCTGGGTTGCAGGTCAGGTCCCCAGTAGGGGGCACATGAAAGGCAATCACACATTGATGATTCTCCCTCCTTCCTCTCTCTCTACAAATAAATAAATAAAGTCTTAAAAAAATAATAAAGTGAGAAGACAGCTCACAGAATCTGATAAGGGACTTGTATTTAGAATATGTAATTCACAATTACTTCGTAGTCTGTTCATAAACCATGTCAAAATTGCCAGATTATGCTTGCATGTTTTGAATTTACTAAAATCATTGGTAAATATTTATATCCCCTGGAATAGGATTTCTCAGGTATCCCCAATTTCTTTTGAATAAAGACTGGAAATGACATTTGGGAACTTTGCTGTTAAGAATAGAAGTTCCTTGTGAGGGCTGTCATGGGTTTATAGCTGAGGGTAACGATTTCCTTTTCACCTAGCAGCCTTAGTAGCTTCAGAGAGTGGGGTTTGGCAGCAAAGGCTTCAAGATCTTTTAAGAGTTCCTATTCCAAACTTTTAGCATTCACTTTTGAGTTGGATATAAATTTATCATATTTGTTGGTTTTTAAAGGATTTACAGTATTTCCCCTTATCTGAGGTTTTGCTTTCTGTGATTTTAGTTACCCGTGGTCAGCCATGGTCTGAAAATACTGTATCAAATAGAAAATTTTAGAAATAAACAATTCTTAGGTTTTAAATTCTGAGTATCATGAAATCTTGCACCTTCCACCCCATCCCACATGGGACACAAATCTCCTTTGTCCGGCACACCCACCCTGTGTACACCGCCCAGCCGTCCATCATTTAGTAACCTTTTTTAAATAGTTATCAGATGGACTGTCATGGGATCTTAAGGTTCAGATAAACCTTATTTTACTTAGTAATGGTCCCAAAATGCAAGAGTGGTGATGCTGGCAATTTAGGTATGCTGAAAAGTAGCTGTAAAGTGTCCCTTATCAGTGTATGAGAAAAAACAGTGTGTATAGGGTTCAAAACTATCCAAAGTTTTAGCCATCCATTGGTGGTCTTGGACCATATACCATGCAGATAATGGAGGACTACTGTGTCTTCAAGTTCTGTTCTGATGATTCCACGCTACTAGTATGTTAATATTAATTTTCAAATTGCATGACTTTCTTCTTTGCTATACTATAGTGCATTTCATTGTCTTAAAGTAGGGAGATTTTTTCTAATATTGTGCTATTTCTGAAACTGAGTGGATACCACATTTGTGAAATAATGCTCTCTCTCTCAAAATTTCATCTCTTTCTGTATACATAGAGTACCCTTTCAGAATACTCTGTAGTAGAGAGTTCTGATGTCTGTAGAAATTACACGTTTGTGAAACATTAAAAAAAGAATGCAAATATTAAGAGAGAGAAAGACAAAGACTACATTATATTTGTTAGTCCAGTCTGTGGTCACTGTACTTCCTCTTGAATCCAGTTTCTCTGAAAAATTACGATAAATTTCAGTTACATTTACATGGGCTTTCATAGTGAACTTCAAGCATCACTCTTAAAAAAAATTTTTTTAAGGGTTTTCAGAATACATTTTTCCCCATGCTGATTAAAAGTTCTTTAAGGCTTAGTTATTTAAAGTTGCTAAGCATTTAATATTTAATTTTAAATCTAATAAATTATTAGCACTTATATAAAATAGTATTTAGTATTTTAATTAAAGTAAAAAAGATAGACTTTGCTTACTTTATAAAACATGTTTACTGTTTTCATTTTATGAAAAAAATTAAGACTACAGGGAATTTCAAACTTGGGCATGTTTTTGTCATAATCTGAATCTATTTATCTCTCTTTACAATGTGAAAGAAGTGATGTATTTGTCAGGTAGCATAAGAAAGAAAGGGGTGAAGGAACCACAGTGAATTTAATCTTTCCAATGAAGTTTTCCTCCTTCTCATAGTCCTGTATCCAAAGAACAAGAGACATTTTGGGAGGACACTGGTAGGAATATATCATTTCATTATATAAACTATGTAATTACATAGTTTGAGTACAGGCCTATTAGACAACATACAAGCAACAGATGATTTTTTTTTTAATTTTTAGGTTTAGATTGAAGTTTTGAGAAGACAATGTATTGATATTCAGCAGTTTTTTCCCATTATTTGTTCCTACTTGGAATAAATAAATCATTTCTCCTCTGTGTAAGAGGAAAAGTACCTTGTTCTTATTGATAGTAAAAGATAACAGGATAATCAGTAATGATAATCTGATGTCATTTTAGACCTAGCAAAAACAGATTATCTGACTCAGATAAAATAATTAGAAATAACTTAAATTTAAGAATAGTGGATTCCTAATCTCATTTCCAAGGTTAAAAGTCAACACAACCAGATGTTTCTGAGGACTAAACTAATCTTAAACCCATTTTTAAAGGATTACGTTTGATTATTTTTAGATTTAATTTTAAACAGGATTTAAATGTATGTATATTTTTACTAAAATTAATATTGAAGTTAAAGTGTTTTCAAAGCAATCAGCTTTAAAGCATTTTTTCTTTAGGGAACAGATTATTCTAATTATTCCTTATTAGACTGTTTAGCATTTTTTCCTGTTTCTAAATGAAATGGATAGTGATGTTGTTATTAATGTAATTGATGTCAGAATTTCTTAGTGAGTAGTTCACACACAGCCAAGAATACTGTCCATTCTGACAACCACCAATACTCATAGTGCTGGGTGATTGTGTCAGTCATGTTTTCAGTCACTGAGCTTGGAGAGAGTTAATCAAGAAGTGCTGTAACAGCTGGTACAGCGCCTTCTGGTGAGGTTCTGACAGTGAGCTATTGTGTGCTGTGACACTGCTCTGACAGCTTATCTGAATTGTGTATACAAGCATTTTTGTGTTCTGGGCACCATGGAGTTTATGTAATAGCTTAAGCTTTTGATGGTGTCTCTGGAGCTCAGTGTTTTTCGCAGTTGTGGTGAGGTTCATGGTAGGGTGGAGAAGATATATTTACTTGCAGTTTTGTAAAAGGCTTTACATTCTCAAAGCAAAAATTGAGCTTTTGCATTTGGTCTCACAGGTAATGTTGTTGGACTCTGCTTGAATTACTCAAGGTAGCTTAAAGAAAGATTTTCAAATTAAGAGGGGAAAATGCTCCCCCCCCCAATAGTGGCTCATGGTTACCTAAATAAATACAGAAAGAATGAGAAATGCAGGAGTAACTTAATTTTAACTTGGTTATGTTATGCAATGAAAAGTATCTTATGTTCAAAATGTTAAGTTAGTTTAAATGAGACTATCTATTAAATACCATTCTCATTATGAGACAGTTAGTGGATTTACCTGCCTTTTAAAAATACCCATAAATGTAGTGCTGAGATTATTAATCCTTATAATTAAATTTTGCCAAGTATCCTACTGAATCAGTTGTGGTGAATTAGCAGCATTCAACTCCAAACCAGCATTGCAAATATGGAAAACAATTTGAATCTATTTGTATAATAGTACAGGGGAATAGTGTACTTTAATTTTCTTAAAGCATTACTGATTACTTGAGTGATTAAATAGAAGCTAAACATTTACAAGGTTTTTGGTTTTTTTGTTTTTTTTTGTTTTTGTTTTTTTTACATTCAGTTTTCCCCTCATCAATTTTTAATCTGAGTTTAAAACATTATAGGATTGGGGAAAATAGTGACTCATTTATAGTTAACTTGTAGATCTTTTTC